ATCATGCATTATACCCACATTCCATGGAACCGATCTTCAAACATGGTACCTTGTTCCTTGAAAGACAAATCACAACAATAGCCCGCTACATTACTACATCATTTCAATATGTACAGTATCTTCACTGCATTTTTTCAGGAAATAAAATTAATAATGTGTGTTAGTGACCTGTAGAACAGCTAACTTAATTACATCATATACATCGTTCTTTCGAAAACTAAAGATCAAAACTGAGCGTCTTTCACTGACGCAATACGTGCAGAATGCCAAGATCTACGCGTCTAGATCACCAGGTTCGTAAACGTGTGCTTTCGGCGATTGTCAGGAGATGAAAAACAGACAATGTAACGTAGCTATTTCATTCCCCATCCCACGGACAAAAGAAAAGCACAGCTCACAGCGAACTGTCAGGTGTTCACGGAAAGGCTGAACAGACTGCTTGCTCAGAGGAGTTAAACGAACGTCGCCAACAGGTGAATGGCACGACGCGTTAACGTCTCGTTCGTTTGCGTTTGCTTTCACGCGGACTTCGCGCGTGAAAAATTGACTTTCAGCGAGTTATTTATTTAAGAGCTTCCGCGAACGCCCGACTAAATGTATCACTCCCCGCCGAACACTCGCGACTCAACAGGCTTTGCGGAATCGATGAACGCAGCTCGCGGGGCCGGAGAAAACGAAGAACGGGACGGGGCGACAACTGGCCGCTGTGCAGCGGGGCCTCCGGAGACCGTCTTTCTCGCCTCCCGGCCGCGCGCACAACGAATGGCGAAACCGGCAGAGAATGGACGCCCCGGCTGATTTACACGGGCTCTGGACAGTCGCAGTGGTATCCTTAAAAAAAGTAGTGTATGGGCCCCCTTAAAATCATTTATTGCGATTTAGAGATCCTCTACTAAGGTCATTGAGGCCCATAATGTAAAAAGTTAATGTTACCGATAAGGATGATGTTAGAGAAATGGACCAATGAGAGGCACGTGAAACGGGAGAACCCCGTGAAAATACATCGCGAACTCGCTAGTACTTCTGTGCATTCTCAATAGTATCCTCAGAAAAGTAATGAATTGACCCGACTCATTTATTGAGATTAAATTTCGCCCCCCGTAAGCACATGATAAAACCAATTCAAACATCCAACCTAACATTAAAGCATGTAAATTTTAAATAAACAATAAATCATCCCAATCCCAATCCAACACCTTAAAAAACGGAGCAGTGATGTCAAGCTCAAAATGCCAAGGATGCCTATTCCTAACAATGAAAAATCTATTGTATCCAAGCCCTTGAAAGGCCACATGGTCGAACAAGAAGAAAATAAATGAAAAAAAAAATTATTGAGATCTGGAGTCATTTTAACGTCTAAGGTCATAGAGGGCAGTGAGGTAAAGAGTTGATGATAGCGATAAGAGTGATAAACGAAGTTGGAGAAATGGTGGAATGAAATGTAGGAGAAACGGGAGAACCCCGAGAAAATCGACCGAGAACTCGCTGTCTCAACTCGCGAATGTCTCAATAGTAGCCTCAGAAAAGTAGTGTAATGCAACTCTTAAATTCATTTATTAGATTTATTAGATCGTTTAATTACTAAGGTCATGGAGGCCCATGATGTAAAGAGTTGATGATAGCGGTAAGAATAATGAATGACGTTGGAGAAATGATAGAATGAGAGGCAGAAAAAGATACAGGAGAACCCGGAGAAAACCGACCGAAAACTCGCTAGTCCTTCTGTATAGTTTCAATAGTATATTCACACAAAGTAATGTTTTGACTCTCTTAAATTAATTTATTGTGATTTAAGATCAGATAACTAAAAAGGTCACGTAGTACAAAATTTTGGGAAAATTGCATTATTGTTAATGTGTTTTCTTCTTGTTTTTCTTTTAAAAAAGAAAATGGAAAATTTCGATTACCACAGGTACGGCTTCCGACACTAGCGAAAAAGCTGTGTCGAACACGACTAGCGTCTGAATTAACATTTTACAAGCCGGCTTTCCGGAACGACCCGTGGTTTCGTTTGGTCAATATTCCACGCGCCTACCAGGGCAAAACTGTAACATGGGGTCAGAATCCACGCGCGTTCCTTTCTTCTCAATCCGTTTTACACTCCGGACGAGGGATGAGCCCATTACGCAAACCCATTTTAATCACCCTAACCTCATGTGGACCAACGTCCAGTGATGAAAATTTCTGACAAGCTTCGGAAATCCGGAATGAAGTGACTCCCCCAATACCCTTTCACGGGGTACGAGCAGTAAAAAAAGTAAAAAAACCTTGATGTAGTTTGGTCTCTGCTCCGCTTTCTAAGGATGTGCAATTTCCACTCATCTCGGTGCTTTCATTTTCTGTTTTAAACTTGTAGCACCAAGAACGGTGTAGTCAACTTTACAACAGATGTATCAAAATAAATGTTACAAACTTTTAGAGGCGTCGAGAATAAGCACTTTTCTGCCAATGAATGTAGAGTTGAAATTGCATACGGGTGTAACAGTTATATGCTTTTGTACAAGTGACATTTACCATCAGTTTTTAAGAAACTCCGTACGTAAAGATGTACAGTAGGTTCTTTTGCATTCACGCAGATTTTATGTTCATACGGAACATCTACATACATGGGGATCATTGTCTTATGTATAAATGCATATTTGTTTGCAATATTGAATTTCATTTGCAAAATGCCATCATTTTCACTCCTCCACGTGCCCCAGAAGTTTTTAACACTTATTCTGAGACACACACTATACGCAGTCTTTACGTGGTTGAAATCATCACAAAAAATAATTATATTTACATTGAACCGTACTACCTAATGGAATCCTTGACGGAAACAGCCTGTATTCCGAAATTCTCTATAATATATTTTCGGGCTTCGGATACGGTTTCGTTTCCTTGTTTGACAAAGAATTTAAGACAAGATTTCAGTTTTAAAGTGAAGGGTGGTCATTTATGCATAATTCGACGCACTCCAAAAATATACCCTACTCCGAAATTATCGAAACGTAATTAATGGCCATTGAATTATACATAATTACGATTACTAATATCTTTATTCCTGATTTGCTTCGGTCTGAGCTCATTTCACAAGCAAATCCGTCTTTACTGGATTATTCTCAATCCGCTTGTGTGGAAACGAGAGACCAGATTTTTTGCACAATTTCAATCGATTTTATTTTACAAAACACAAAACATACGATTTTAGGGAACTAATCACTTCAAAACACATTCTTATTGTGAAATATTTCGCAACGTAATCGTTAAACAACAGAGCAAGAGAATAGTTACGAATACCAACATACTTTGTAATATCGATTGCATTGTAGATCAGATAATTCCACGAGTGACGTGATACAGAATGCCGCGTTTACGGAATTCCACTTGTATTGCCAATCAGTTTGTCGGTTTGAGGCTGTCAGAGAGTTGTGTACATTGTGATACTATCACGCCAATTTTTTTTTCAGTTTCAATTTCGAGAAAAGTCTTTTATGTTTAATTGTGTTCAGTAAAAAAAAAGCTTTTAAAAAAAATTCCATTTCCAAAACTTTTGGCTCAACAATTATCACATTTAACACATTTATTAAATATCGAATCCTGTATTTTTTTCCTCCTGATTGAAACTGTAAGATAATTATTATATCAATCTGTATAAAAATTAAGCTCTTCAGATATATCACATTCCAAATCCCAAAACCTAGTGAACGATCGCGTGAGACAGCAGACGCTGTACCGCCCCTCAGGGTAATTTCACCGGCAACCCCGCCGCACAATGCACTCTTTATCGAATTCCTGTCAGCCCGTTCGCCGGCTTCTCTGTTCGTGCGTGGGAGCGCTGCAGTCGCAGATGCACTATCGCGCCGTGGCCACGTTCCGCCGCGCTCGGCGACCCGCGGCAACACCTGTCAGCGCCCGGGGCGAGGCTGCGCGCACAATGCGCCTATCGCCCACGCCCACGCCCGCGCCCGCGCCCGCGCCCGCGCGCCGATCCTTCCGACGCGACGCCTGTCGACGCGCCGTCACCCGCATACAGGAGGGCGGCGCACAGCGAACCCGCACCTCGAAAATTGGAGGCCAAAATTTCAGTGTTCGGTTCGGAAGTGAAATGTTCGTTGCGGCGCCTTTCAAATTGGCGCGCAAGCGGCAGGGCGGTGCGCGTCTCGGGGCTCGCCGCTTCAAGATATGCAACCTCCGAGACCGAAGGCGAATGGCGAGTCACCGGCGTGACGTCACCCCTGCCACAAATGGCAGGGGCAAGGGCAGGCCAGCCTCAGTCAACCGCAGTGAGACAGTCATGCAGGCAATCAGTCAGTCAACCAGTCAGTCAACCAGTCAGTCAACCAGTCAGTCAACCAGTCAGTCAACCAGTCAGTCAACCAGTCAGGCAGGCAGGCAGACAGTGTACGCCTGCCAGGAGATATTCGAGCAGTCCTCCTGCCGAGTCAACACGGGAGTCGACTACGCGTCAGTCGAGAGGGTCAGCGCGCGGTGTAGACCGCGGCGAGGCAACCAATCCGTGCCGGGGGGCGCGTGGGAGCCGCAGCGAGAGACGACTCCTTGCGTGTGAGCGCGCTGATCGCCTGCTCTACAGGAGGCCCTGCAGTGTGGGTCTTGATCCGTGCTGGTGTAGCATGTGCACAGGCAGAGGGCACATCCAGGCACTCCCCGTAGCGAGAGATGGACATCGTTGACTCAAGAAGTTTGCAAATTGTGATGATGTTATATGTGAATAAAGATTATTGAAGTTGCAGTACCACCTTTATTCATGGAACATAAGAGAAAGGTCTTTGGAGTTGCTGAAAAATAACGAAGAAGGGGAATCTAATGAGATAGAAAATTTGTAATATGAAACAAATGCCATAGGGAACAAATAGGGGGGATGTTGGTAGCCAAATGTGAAGAACTGATGTGACAGAAGACTTCTGCATCGGAACAATCAAAGTGTGGGGTCGAAAAACGGGACACGCGCCTCTATGAAAAATTCCGCAGGAAAGGCAATGAAAAAAAAGTTCAAATCATACGCTTTTACTTAGCAACTGAGGACGAATTGCAAACGTGTCCCATTGTTCCATTACTGCGAATGTTTTTTTTAACAAAAGCCAATAAAAGAATCTAAAGATTTAATTATTATTTTAAAAACACTTCATTCCACTAAGAACAACGTTTAAAAATAGTCACTAGTGTTTTGAACACGGGAGGAAAATAGAGAGGGATTTGTGGACCGTCTACGCTGTTTATATGGAGTCTAAACGAATGTACGAGAAATACAGCTTTGCCTTTGATGCCACAAAGTTATTTGATTACCGAGTTGGAAGGACGTATGAAACTGAACAAATGTAATGGTCGAGATTTTGAGTTAAGAACAGTTTTGTAAGACACAAAAAATCTAACTTAATGTTTTCTGAAATGTAGCAATGGCCGACTACATATATTATTTTATCTACATACATGTCGATATCATTTCGACATACATATCATCAGACATATCTCACCGACTATTAAAACATTCTGTGGGGAAACTAATATTAAAACTGAATTTTAAGTATTTAAGATAAGTAATATGAAATATTACTACTCATAATAATGGCGTGCACACGCACATTCTGCGACATGGCACCGCTCCCAGTAATATCCACTAACCCGTTCCTTTGGAGTTCTTTAATTTTTCTGATTTGAAGAAAAACACAGCAATAAATATCATTAGACTATAACGAAGATTTGTCGTCAATGACTGTGACGGATTAACCAAAATATTAAAATAATTAGTACATCGTTGTTTGATAATTCTTCGGGGCTTGAAATGCGCAAGTAAAATTCTTAAATAATTTACAAAATGTACTCTATTGAAAATTGGAAGGGATAATTTTGCCACATTTACAACTAAAAATAAAATATGATAGTAACTCCCAGTGCTACGAATTTGTTTTTTCTTACCTGGAGAAACAGACTCCGAAAGATCCTGAACGCTCAGAAATATATCTGAAACAAAAAAAAAGTAACTATCAGCATACTTGCATATTGCTAGAGAGACACAATAGACTTCCAAATATAATGAAAACATACACATTTGTGATGAGTAACATACACATGTAATGAGTAACATACACATAACATACACATTTGTAATGAGTAACATACATTTGTAACATACACACCCATTTGTAATGAGTAATTTTATTTTAGGCAGACAATTGTTTTACGAAGTATTACACAAACATTTGAATCATTCGATCATTTCGTCCTTGCACTCTAAAAATTCAAAGCAGGACCCATTAAATATAACATCACACTTCGGAGGAGAGATATTTTGATTATTTCAAAAAGGTGAATTAAAGTCATAAGATCAGTGTTGTAAATTCTAACTCAGTTTGTGATCATGTTAAAAATTAATTTGAATGCATAGGTCCGACGTTTATCAGCCCGTTAAGAATTTCGTAATAACGAAGAACGCTAACAAAACTGTGTGGCGGAAGATACGGTAGATACAAAAATGCAAATTAAAAATTAAAAAAATACTTCATTTGATTTTTTTGAATGATCAATAAGAGAAGAAGTACACGACACCCATAATACTATGTGACACAAGCTAACGTGCAAAACGTGAGCGAGATTACTCATGAAACAAATAATAGACTTCCACAGACGCAAAGTTATGGTCCAAAGATCTCTTTCAAGGCTTCACGCACTCGGGTAAAGAGGAGTGTAAACGCTGCAAATAGATGCTAATCAGTTTCCGCGGCTGTTCACTGCCACCCACAGCACTGCCCCGCTACCGTCTCTTCAACCGCCTCCCTCGACTCCGCCTATGTATCCTCGTTCAGTTCGTCCCCGCTACCATCCGCACCACTGCCTCACCGCCGTCGCCACCGCCAGTGCTGCCCCCGGCTACCGCCTCCTCCACCCCATCCTTGACCAGGGCGTAACCACTCTTGACTCGCCGCTGCCGCGTCCTCAACCACCACCTCCCCCCCTGCCGGACCGGCTTCGTCGCCCATCTTATGACGCTGCCTGCGCAACTCACCACCACCACACCTTTCTGCTCCCCCTCCAGCCACCACCACCACCACCACCCCCACCACCACCCTTTCCTGTCCTCTGCCACCGCTGTCAACGCCAAGGCTGTCCGACCAAAGCAGCCAGGCTGTCACCGCCAGGCTTGTCACCGCAAGGCTGTCACCGCCAAGGCTGTCAACCGCCACAGTTCACGCACCCCAGTCCGCACCACCCAGTTCGCCACCACCCAGTCGCCACCACCCCAGTCGCCACCACCCAGTCGCCACCACCCAGTCCCCGCACCACCCCAGTCCACACCCCAGTCGCCACCACCCCAGTGCACCCCATCCCACCACCCAGTCCACACCCCCAGTCACTAGAGCAACCCCGTCACCACCACCCCTGTCAACCACCACTCACCACCTGCACACCCTGTCACCCACCCTTTCACCCACCACCCTGTCACCACACCCCCTTTCACCACCACCCTGTCACACCACCACCCCCTTTCACCACCCACCACACCCCAGTCACCAACCCAAGTCCACCACCAGTCGCCACCACCCAGTCGCCACCACCCAGTCGCCACCACCCCAGTCGCCACCACCCCCAGTCGCCACCACCCAGTCGCCACCACCCACGCAGTCAGCCACACCCCAGTCACTAGCAAACGTCCCGTCACCACCCCCTTCCCACCGACCACCCTGTCACCACCTCCTGTCCACCACCCCTTTCACACAACCCCTGTCACCACCACCCCTTCACCACCACCCCTGTCACCACCACCCCTGTCACATCACACCCTGTACCACCACCCCTGTCACCCCCCATCACCACCGAACCCCAGTCACACCAACCCCGTCACCACCACCCCCGTCACCACCACCCACCCGTCACCACCACCCCCGTCACCACCACCCCGTCACCCCAACCCCGTCACCCCCAACCCCGGTCACCCCTCAACCCGTCACCCCAACCCGTCACCCCAACCTGTCACCACCAACCCTGTCACCACCAACCCTCTCACCGCCACCGCTGTCACACCGCTGTCACCACCATCCGTCACAGACCAATCCGTCACCACCAATCCCGTCACCACCAATCCGTCACCACCAATCCCGTCAACCACCAGCTCCGTCCACACCACCCCTGTCCACCACCACCCTGTCACCCCCAACCCTGTCACCACCAACCCTGTCACCACCAACACCTGGTCAACCACCAACCCTGTCACACCAACCCTGTCACCACCAAACCCTGTCACCACAACCCTGTCACACAACCCTGTCACACCACCAACCCTGTCACCACCATCAGCGCCGCTAAAACATCATCGCCAACTCCTCTTCCCCTTCCTTCTCCGCCACGTCCACAGCATCGCCTGCGCACGCGACAACCGCACGCGACGCGTCCAGCGCCCTCGAGGCCTCTGCGCCTCGGAGTCTGCGCGATTTGGCTCTCGGGGCGGCCATTGGTGGCCACAATTAAGATCCTAACGAGCGCCCTCGCGCACGCAGCCGCCTTTGACGCCTCGCGCCTCTGCCACGTGATTCAGCTGTGCGTACCGGGCAGGAAGTGCTAGGGCCCAGGGAGGGCCAGGATAGCAATGGCGTGTGGTGTGTATGTATGTATGTATGTATGTATGTATGTGTATGTATGTATGTATGTATGTGTATGTATGTATGTATGTGTATGTATGATGTATATGTGTATGTATGAAGTATGTATTGTATGTATGAATGTATGTGTGTATGTATGAATGTATGTGTGTAGTATGTTAGAATGTATGTGTGTGTATGTATGAATGTACTTGTGTGTATGTATTAATGTATGTGTGTGTATGTATGAATGTATGTATCTGTATGTGTTGTGTGTATGAATGTATGTGTGTTGTATGAATGTATGGTGTAATGTATGAATGTATGTGTGTATGAGTGTTGTTTTTATATTTTTTTTTTTTTTATTTTTTAACGTGGGCAGGGGAAAATCTTCTAAAAACACAGCGCCGGCCCGCAACCCGCAAGCGTGTGGGATTCATAGCTAGCCTATGCCTACCCACTAAAAACCCCTCCTTTCCCTCCTATTCCTTCCCGCGGAACCGCCGTCAGGCATTGCATCGCGAGAAGGAAGGATGGGCTTTTCGCACTTCACCGAAATATTACGGGAGACTTCTTCGTAACTGCTCCTCGGAGCGGAGCGTCTTCAGGACCTTTGCGGCATAGGTGGCTACCCGCACTCCAATACTCTTGTGTCAGCAGCATCCTAGTGACGATGGTCTCAGGGTCACTTCTGCTTGGAGGAGCTTGAAATTCTTCCCTTTCCCACTGCGAGCGTGACAATGAAAGAACAACGTGTTCTTCATCTTCAATGACCGGAAACACCTTGGGCGTGAGACTATCGTCCGTGTATGTGTGATGATGATATGTAGATGAGTTTATGTATAAGTTGGTGATGTATGAAATGGTAATATGTGTATGTATGAATGTATGTGTGTGTATGTATGAATGTATGTGTGTGTATGTATGAATGTATGTGTGTGTATATATGAATGTATGTGTGTGTATATATGAATGTATGTGTGTGTATGTAAGTGTGTGTATGTATGAATGTATGTGTGTGTATGTAAGTGTGTGTATGTATGTAAGTGTGTGTATGTATATAAGTGTGTGTATGTATATAAGTGTGTGTATGTATGTAAGTGTGTGTATGTATGTAAGTGTGTTTATGAATGTATGTGTGTATGCATGTGTGTATGCATGTGTGTATGAATGTGAGGATAGAGTAAGCACCTCGAAACATGCGTGATCTGTATTTAGTGTAAATTCATTTTTTATTATTTAAGATAACTTTATTTTTACCTATATAATAATTAGAATAATTGCTGCATTTGGAGAGCATGGTAAAATGTATGAATAAGTATCGAGGAAGAAGTTTCAACATAAAACAATTTATTCTACTTAACGGGCGTTACAATAAAAAAAATTTCAGATTATACAAGAAATACTCCAGACGTTCCACTTCCCAAAAAGAAAGTACCTAGTCCATAGCTGTACTCCGTACCACACGAAGACGTACCAGTTCGTAGCAATATTCACAATTATCCAACGGGAATAACAAAGAACTTGGCTGGGCGGGCGTAGCTGTCAGAAAAGCGGTAACTTCGGCCCTCACAACTCAGTCATAAACCCTTCTGCGGTTTCCTGGTCGCCCATTATATACTAGTGGCCGGGGCTGACCCAGACTCGCTCCCGAACCTGGAAGTTTGATGGAGCCTTTCAGAATAAAGCGCGCGCAGTCTCGTCGCCATCTTGGAAGTTGCCTGTGCACACAGCACACGGCAAGTGAGTTACACAGAAGGTACAGCCGAACAAAAGAATATATTCGCGTTTACAAGAATGATAATTACAGTGGAGCGCCCCTAGCAAGGGACTCATGGGGCTTTATTCCCCCCCCCTCCAAGACAATGAATGACATCTTAACAATTGTGCGCATGATTTAACTATTTTTCAATAGAAACTAATATCATTCAATAATTCAATTGAATACATTATAAATAACTATAAAGCAACAAAAAAATAGAATTTAAAAATTTATTTAAAATACATTTTAAATTCTGCGAATATGACCAAAATTCTTTCGAAGAAAACATCAACTCAGCTCGACACTACACCTTTTCCCCCACCTTTTAAATTCTGATTTTGCCACTGGTCACAATGAAACTCGTTGCCACTGGTCACAATGAATTGCAACTCACGATAATAAAACGATCACTTTAGTGCATTAGTTTATTCTTAAGAGCTATTTGTTATAATCAGAAATAATCACATTTTATACTTCACTGTTTAAACTATTTCCTATTTTGAATTTCTAATAAAACATATACTATAGAGATATTTAGATTTTTTTCATTTTTTTCTTTTAAGATGTTATTACTTTGTTTTCATTTAATGCATTTCTTAATTAAAAGCGAACATTGTAATAATGATAGATATGAGCAATGAGACAAGTCGGTAAATCTGCTAGGACTGCAAAGGGAAGTTGAGTCAAGAGGATCGATGTCAGTTGTAAAACAGGGGGAGCGGAAAAGTTCATGAGACAAATCACTCTGACGATGGCAATTAAGAACAAGAAGATGAAAGGAGATGGAGAAAGCGAAAGACATCAATGAGAATTTTGAACGGAGTGATGGCTTTTAAATAGAAAGTATGATTCATCAACATACTGGCACACAACAGAAAAAATATCGAAAAGATGTTAATCAAAAAGAAAAAGTAAAAAAGAGAAAGACTCAAAATTACGAATGAAAATTAATCTTCATCCAGCACCCCAAATAAGTTTTCTATTTCCAGAACCCTAATCACGCATACACATGTACGAAAACAAAACGTTAAGAAAAACTAAACAGACCTTAGACGCCGAACAGAGAAAAATCTTACATTTAAAACAGAATAGAGACATTTACATACGTGAATAATTCTTTCGGAGGGCAAGAGAATTTAAGAATCAAGTAAAATGTAATAGTAAACGCAGAGAGCGAACAACGAATGCTCGAGGGGCGCCAACATGCGCGAGCGGTGGAGAGAGGGCGCGCGCGCTAATTGGCAGTTAGGCGCGGGCGGTATCAGCGCAAGGGGGCGCGTAGGCTGCGGGGCGGAGCGAGGGCGGAGGGCGGGGGGCGCAGGGCGCGAGAGAACCCCCATAAAGACGTTAGCGGCGCAAACAGAGCCGCACCCCGCGCCTCCGCCTGCGCGCTAATTTCATTATCAAAGGCCCCGCGCGCCCGCCGCCCGCGGGCGGACGCGACAGCATGTGCCAGGCGAATGTCGGGCCAACGGGTAAGCGGAAGAGAGAGAGCAGGAAGAGATAGGAGGCTGGAGCGAGAGGAGCCTGAAGGGAGAGAGAGAGGGAGAGAGATAGGGGCATGGGGCGGGTGGGAAAGAGAAGGAGAGAGATAGGTACAGGGAGCGGAGGGGGAGAGAGAGGAAGAGGAGGCTGGAGGGAGGAAAGAGGGAGAAGGGAAGAAGAGAGAGGGGCGGGGGAGAGAGGGGAAGAGAGGGGGAGAAGTGAGAGGGAGAGGGAGAGAGATGCGGAAGAGAGAGAGAGAGTAGTCGTATATAGGTAGGGACGACGAGAAAGAAACAGTCACGATAAAAACAGTGGGGGAAACAGAAGGAGAGGATTGAGGCAGAATTATTGTAAGAGAAAAGAAGATTGAGAGTGAGAGAGATTGAGAGAGAGAGAGAGAGAGAGAGAGAGATATGGAAAAACAGGCGCCAAAGATTGGGAGAAAAAGAGAAATAAAGAAAGAAAAAGAAAGTGGTTAATACACTGATTGTTGGAGTGGTAGG